TACTACTCTCTCCCCTTCTGACGTCTGGAAGATATTCGGCCCCACTCCGCGAATTGCATTTTTTTACATCGGATTCCCCAGAACTGGGTTTAGCCTGTTTATTTCAAGAAGCTGTTCCCGCTCAGGCGCTGGTCTCATTTTCGGGCTTCCGCTCGTTCCGAAACGTGCTCCCGCTGCAGCGCTGGCCTCATTTCCGCGCTTCCGCTCGTTCCGAATCGTGCTTCCGCTGCAGCGCTGGCGTCATTTCCGCGCTTCCACTCGTTCCGAATCGTGCTCCCACTGCAGTGCTGGCGTCATTATTTCCAGTGCCATGCCATGGCATGGTTTTCGGTCCTTCCAAATAGGCCCAAAAATATAGAAAAGGCCATCGGAAGTGATTCCACATTCGGTGACGATTCGTTGTTTTTTTGGGCAGCACCCCCCCCACTTTGGGGCGTCGCCACGCCGTGCTATGTCATGCTACGCGTTGATCTTCAACGCCATTCTTTGCCATGTCATGCTATGCCACGCTACGACATCCGACTGTACGAATAGAGAGGGGATCTACGCCATGGTAAGGGATGGGAGGGAGGGGTAGGACGTCAGATGTGACGCGAGCGCACCCAGCTTGCCTCTCTCCCCTCTCTTCCTGCCCTCTTCTGATCTCTGCATTCACATCTCCTCTCCCCTCCCCTCGCCTCTCCTCCCCTCCCCCCCCCTCTTGCGCCGCCCTCCCCTCTTCTCCCCTCTTTTCTCCCCCTCTCCCCTCTCCTCTCCTCTCCTCACCCGCTCCGCCCTCGCCCTCTCCCCTCCCGCGCCCTCCTCGCCCCTCACGTCCCCCTCCCCCCCTCCCGCCCTGCCCCCGACACCCCCTCCCGCGCCTGCAGGCCCCGCGCGGGCCGAGCGTGCCAGTCCGTGGGCCCAGAGCCCCTGTGTCCCCTTTCGAGGAATGATTCGAGCCTACAGTCGGGGCGCTGAAGAAGGAGCCCTTCTCGTTGGGGAGGGGCTCCGTGTTCCTTGATTGTTTCACAGCTTCTCTTGTGTTTTCCCTAGGTGTTCGATGGGAGATCGAAGATTAAGTCATGGAAAGAAGGGGCCTCGTTCCTTATTTCGGGTTCCTTGGGTCAACGCCCCGACTGTATCTCTCCATCTGTACATACGGTGCCGTTTTTTATACATGCTCCGCGTGCGGATCATGTTTTTAAAAAAACAAGGATGAGTTCATGCACACATTTATTCATACATTATTCATGTATGAAGCATCCGATATGTTTAAAGTTCTTATGTATTAAAAACAGCCCTGTGCACACGCCGGTCGTTGAAAGTAGGTATTTGTGGATTCCTAGGTCCCAATCTACTTCAAGCGCCTTCCTACCTCAAGAGTCGGCATGCTTTTGCTGTGTCTTGTTATTCTCTGGGAGGACCTGGACCCAATCCGCTATATCCGCCTTCCTACTTCATGTTTCTACCTGCTTCTTCCGACCGACGTGTACTCACTTCTGTGTGTATGCGTATCCCTACACACACCCTCCCCAAGGGCAGGGCCGGCCTCTCTTCTCGGATCGTTCCCCGGTGGCCTGGGAGCTCGGAGAGTGCTTGGAGCCGAGGGGGAACTCTAGGTCACCCGCGGGGGCGCGAAGAGGATCTCGCTTCGCGCATCGCGGTCTGGGCTGGAGCAGTTGCCCTCTTCTGAGGGCGGCGCAAGGTCTCGAAGGTAGTCGGCGTCGCGCATCGCGGGGCGCGATGCGCAATGTTGGGCGACCCAGGAGCTCGCCAGGATGCTCCTCCTCCTCCTCCTCCTCATCCTTTTCCTCCTCCTCCTCCTCCGCCTCCTCCTCCGCAGGATGAGAGGCACCAGGCCGCCGACGGCCTGAGCAAAGAGTCCGCCCGATGCCGCTCCCCAGACCCCTCCCGGGGCCCATCCGGGCAAGCTCCTCGAGCTGCGCCCAGCCGTGGCCGCGGGAAGGCCCCCGAGTACGGAACACCACCAGTCTCGAACTTTCATCCCCATCCCTCAGATTGACACGCCAAAAGGCGATGGCAATCTTAGGGATGCGCCCTGAAAAACTAAGGGAATCCCTAAGATTGGCATCGCGATGAGGCGATGCCCAGCTTAGGGATAGGGATATGTTCCAGGCTGGTAAGAACAGACATTGAGGCAGTTCAGGTCGCCACTGCTTTCTCGAGCGGGCGCTCTGAGTGCTGAAGTGATCCGTAGCAGCTGCTGTCGCGTACTCGAGGCGGTTTAATGAAGAGCGTATCGGCGAAGGGACACCCTTAGTGCAGCCTGAAACACAGAACACACAGACTTTGGCCGTCGATCCTTGGTTCTCGATCGCCACCAGGGGCCACTGGCGCCCCCAGGGGCTCCGGCCAGAGTCTCGAAGGGAGCCTGGCCGTGGCGAGGCGAAGCCCCCGGGAGCCTTGCGGCGGGCGAGCGATGGCCGCAGGCCTCGAGCCTCGATCCAGGACCGGTTTCCTCTCCCCTCGCCTCCCCTCACCCTCTCCCGCTCCCCCCTCCTCCCCCCAGCCCCTCTCCCCCCCCTCCTCCCCCCTCCTCCCCTCTCCCCCCTCCCCTCTCTTCCCCTCTCCTCCCCTCTCCCCCTCTCCCCCCTCTCCTCCCTCTCCCCTCCCCTCTCCTCCTCGCCCCTCTCCCCCTCTCCTCCCTCCTCCCCCTCCCCTCTCTCTCCCCTCTCCCCCCCTCTCCTCCCCGCCCCCAGCCTCGAGCTTCCCCTCCCCTCCCCTCTCCCCCCTCCTCCCCAATCGATCCAGGATCGAAACAGATCAGGCCGCCAGGGGTCACCAGAGCACCCGCCGGGAGGCATCGGTCCAGGCCGCCGCCCCGCCCGGGGACCGCCTGGGACGGCCTTTCGAGCTGCGCCCAGTCGTGGCCCTCTCGTCCATCCGAAGCCCCTCTGACGTTGAAGCGTTGGAGTGTGAATCATGCAGCTGTAATCAGAGGAGAAAAAGCGCCATAAGCATAAACTTTTGGCGCTCGGGGGGTCCAGCGCAGATCCAAGAAATCCGCGCGGAGCGCCAAAAGCTTATGTCTATGCCATTGTTTTTTCTATGCAAGCGCTCTAGTTGGCCACACCTTTCTCTCGAGGATGCACCTGCCAGGCTGGGGCACTTCAGTCTTGAACGCATGCTGCTGCCATGGCGGCCCCGGAAACCTCGCAAGGCGCACCTTGAGCCGAGACACGAAAACATCAGAGCCGACGTCGGCGAGGAGGCACGCAAGAGCCCGAAGGTCGACGCCGGTGGTTTCGGCCCGAGGAGGAGGCTGCGATCGTTGTTGCACCCGCCGGAGCCGCAGCCGCTGCCCGCCGCCGCCGCCGCCGCCGCCGCCTCCGCCGCCGTCGTCGTCGTCGTCGTCGTCGTCGTCGTCGTCGTCGTCGTCGTCGTCGTCGTCGTCGTCGTCGTCGTCGTCGTCGTCGCCCGTCGTTGTCGTCGTCGTCGTCGTCGTTGTTGTCGTCGTCGTCGTCGTCGTCGTTGTCGTCGTCATCGCCAGTCGTCGACGTCGTCGTCGTATGTCGTCGTCGTCGTATGTCGTCCGTCGTCACCGCCTTCGCTTATCGCCTGTCTCCGTCGCCGTCGCCGTCCCGGTCGCGATCGGCGTCCGTCCTCATCCTCTCGTCCTCGTCTTCGCCCTCGTCGTCGTCGTCCTCGTCCTCGCCCTCGTCGTCGTCGTCGTCGTCGTCGTTGTCGTCGTCGTCGTCGTCGTCGTTGTCGTCGTTGTCGTCGTCGTCATCGCCCGTCGTCGACGTTGTCGTCGTATGTCGTCCGTCGTCATCGCCTTCGCTTATCGCCTGTCGCCGTCGCCTTCGCCGTCCCGGTCGCGATCGGCGTCCGTCCTCATCCCCATCCCCGTCCACGTCCTCGTCTTCGCCCTCGTCGCCGTCGTCCTCGTCCTCGCCCTCGTCGTCGTCGCCGTCGCCGTCGTCGTCGTCGTCGTCGTCGTCGTCGTCGCCGGCGGCGGCGGCGGCGTCGGCCTCGGCGTCGGCTTCGATGTTCTCGACTGCCGTCTTGCCTGGGGCCGCGGCGAGGTCGGTCTTGCCCACGGCGGCCCGCGCCCTGCCCATGCGCGGCGACGCACCCCGGGTGTCCATGGCACCCGCGCCAGTGCAGGACTGGCGCCGCCGCGTCGTGTCCCTCCCAGGGCTCGAAGAAGTCAGAACGGCATAGACAGAAACTTTCGGAGCTCCGCTGAAAACTCCTGCCCTGGTGCGCTCCGCGCGTCAGGGAGGGGGCTCCGCGCAGATCCAAGAGATTCGCGCGGACCGTCGAAAGTTGATGTTATGCCGTTTTTTTTGTTTTGTATTTCTAAGGGCACATCATTCAGCTGTTTTCAGGGTCCGGCGATGTCCCCGGTGATCGGATCCGTTCGCCCTGTCCCCCTCCCCCGTATAGTCAACGTGACCTTGCCGGTTGCACAGGTCCGAAGGGGGTACGCAGTGCTGGTGCGCGCGGGGTCTGTCCGGGGTGAAAAGGTCAGGATATCGGCTGGCACTGGATAACTTGGGTTATGTCAGCAAAATATCGATCTCCATCGTCGTTGTCATCATCATTGTTGTTATCATCGTTGTTGTCATTTTTTGTTTTTGGGCGTATCTTCGAGGCCGACGGACCAGCAACGGCCAGTGCGAGCTTCCAATGCTCGCCGAGCCAGCTCGGCACAGCGACCGAGCAGATGTGAATTCCGTACGGCCCCAGTGTAACAGAGGGGTCCTCGCGAGATTCCCCGGACGTCCGGGAGATTCCTGAAGGCAATCTTCAGGGCTGCTTCTACAGTGATCCCGCAGTATGCTTGAGGATGCACTGCAACTTCCCTAGAGCATCTCCAGGATTCCCTAGGAAATTAAAGCGTCATGGTGTGAATAGTTATGTATTAGTGAGGAACTGCGTAGGCTGTGTCCTTTGGGTTTCCTTTTGAGCCATTGTCTATCCTCCCGAATCTTTCGTATTTCCAGGCGGTTTGCCAGGAAGTCGTAAAGTCTTAGCACATCGGGAATATTCTCAAGAAACTCACCAGGATCCCTCAGGAGATTCCAAGCATTCGATTGTTTTTTGTAGATACCTGGGGATATCCAAAGGACTGTACGACATTCACGGAATTGGCAATATGACGTGGGACATTTGGAGGATTTTTGGGAATGTCTTGAGGACTCCGGAGTCCTGAAGGATTCCGGGAAGCCTGAACTGACTGCTCCTTAGGACATCCTTGGGAAGTCATTTGCGATATTGAAAAAAGTGTTTGCCAGCGTGGACTCCAAACAGTAAATTCTCGCTTTCTGGTGGTGGAAGCTATGCGGTGGAAGTTGTTTGATGGAGGCTATGCGGTGGAAGCTACGTGGTGGAAGCTGCGTGGTGTAAGCAGTGTGGTGGAAAACATGTGGTCGCTCGCCCGCAGGCGACAGGGCATCCTGGCGACGCTGCCACCCAAGCGGCAACGTGCAGCAACGGGCGGCGCCGGGTTGGAACGTGGCGAAGCGTCGACGCACCCACCTAAGCGGCAACGGGTGGCCAGGGGCGGCAACGGGCTGGCATGGAGCGGCAACGGGCAGCAACGGGAGGGAACGTGGCGAATCCTCGACACGCCCACACAATCGGCAACGGGCGGCGACGGGCGGCAACGTGGCGAAACCTCGACGCATTCATTTATTGCGAAGGCCTTAATGCCGGTGCCGCCGACCCTGAGGTTGGGGAGGAGGGCGCGGAGCATGGGGAGGAAGATGAAGATGGGGACAGGAGGAAGAGGCGGATGAGGAGAAGTAGGAACACAGGGGGGGAAAGAATAGGAGGAGAGTGAGGGGAGCAGGGTCGCGGGGGGGCACGAAGGAATGGCAGGGGCGAGTCGAGCGTGGCGATCATGAGAAGGAGGAGGAGGGAGATAATGGCGAGGATGTTGACGATGTTGACGACGACGCCGGCTGCCTATCAGGACCATTCGGGGCGTCTTGGAACCCTCCTGGGGCGACTTCCAGGCTTCGTTCGTTGTTTTGAAGCTAGGTTCGGCATCTGGGGCATCCGGAAGGCCACGGAGGTGTAGTTAGATTTGGAGGGCGCTGGGGCCGGGACCTGGGCCAGGGCCGGGGCCGGAGCGGGCCGGGAGCCAGGGCCGGCCAGGGCGGGGCCGAGGCCGGGACTGAGTCCAGGGCCGGGCCAGGGCATGCGGGGCGGGAGCCGGGGCCGGCCGGGGCCAGGGCCAGGGCGGGGAGCTGCGGGTGCCCCAGTAAAGAAACAAGCACATTACCCCGGGGACCCCCCCCCCAGGACCACCCCCTGGGACCTCTCCCCGGGACCCCATGCCGGGAAGCCCCCCGGCCGCCCCCCCCCCCCGCCCCGGGAAGAGATCCAAGGGAAGGGCTTCGCCTTCACCTCCATGTGAGTGATGTTATGTGGCGTATTGGCTGGAGTGGATTGCTTCGCCGTCATTTCCATGTCATCGATGTTATGTGGCGCAGCGGCTGGTGTGGACTACTGCAGGAGGGATGGCGGCGACCACGCGGGCGAAAGCGTCTCGCGCGCACCGACAGGGTCGGCGGATTTTCTGTCTTCTGTTAGACAAGTAAGACCCCCTAAATGTTAACACTGTTTGGGTAACCAGGGCGACGCCCTGTGTCTTGGTGGTGATTTTCGAGAGGCTATCCTCAATGTCCGAGCGGCTCCAGATGAAAAGAACCTCCAGGATTCCTCACGCAACCCCATGCGCGAATAATTACATGATTCAACGCAGAGATTCCATTATTCACGTACGCGGGGTCAGTTGACTAGGGTGCGAGTCAGCCGTTCAGTCAGTTAGTCAGTCAGTCAGTCTGTCAACTCCGTACGCCGTCATGAGGCACAACAACATGGCGCAGTTGTCGCGGCGCGGCCCATACCATGGGTGCACAGCCCGCTTCCACTCTTGATTTTGGAACGCGCGTATTCTGTCGGTTGAGGTTTCGAGATTGGCGCTTAGAGCTTTCGCGTATTCATACCATTCGGCGGACGACGTCAGTCGCGGTTTGCCTCTCTTCCGCTCGCCAGAGGTTTATGCGACATGCAAGGGAAGACGTTGGAACATAACGGAACGAAATGGTGTGAGTCCAGGGGGAACGTCGCCCCAATTTGTTTTTCAGAACCCCCGTCCCCCGTCGCTGGCTCGCTCATGGTCCCTAAACTGCGGCTCCTGTTGCGCGCTTTCGTGACAGTGTGCGGTCTTCGACCCCTATCCCGACCATGATGCTAGGTTGCAGCCCTGGAATCTACCGACGACGCCGCGCACGCACGTGATCATACCATGCGTCTACGCACACATGTTGACAGGCGTGGCAGCCTGTCGCATCTCTGCGGCGACCATTTCATCGCTCCGTCCGTGCGCCATTTTCCTCCCCCTGTTCATTATCCTGTTTCCGTTTGTGTTTCTGCTCTCCTTTGATTTTCATTTTTGTTTTTGGGCTTCCTCCCTTCCATTCGGCCAGGATGCTGCGGCAGCTTTTGCCTCTGGCGGTGACCATCTCTCGCTGACCGCCAAGCTAGGCGACCCGAGGGTCGCGAAGAGAGAATTGGTGGCGCGCCCAGGGGGGGAGAAGTGAAAGGGGGCGAGCCTGTTCAGAAGGTTCCGAAGTTCCGCAACCCTCTGAACAGTTTTCTGAGCCATCCCCGAAGACACACACACAATTTTTTAGAAGGCCACAGGGCTTCTGAGAAGCTTCGCCTCCTGAAAAGGCCAATTCCTTCTCGTTTCCCCCCCTCGCTCGCCGCCGAGAGAACCGGTGCGGGCGGCAGGACAAGGAAGGGCGGAGGAGGGTGCAGGGAGTGCGGGCGGGAGGGGAGAGTTCAGGATTGGGAATAGGGGGTGAAGAAGGGAGAAAACGGAGGGATGTTGGAGAGGGAGGGGAAAGCGAGGATGTCGGAGGCGACGACAGGGGCGAATAACCCAGGGGCGGACATTACACGCATTCGTCGGGGAGCCTCGCCGAAGACACGGATCCCTGGATACATGTATTGCTCCCCCTTGGGCAATCCGCCTCCATCGTCGCTGCCGAGGATGAAGGATGGATGAGCAACGGAGGAGTGACAAAGGGTGACGAAGGGTGGTAGGGAGGAATGGCGGAGGGGAGGGGGGAGAGGAGAACGCGTCCATGGGGGGGACGCGAGTGCGGACGCGCAGCATGAGGCGGAGGAGGAGGAGGAGGAGGACGAGAAAAGGACGAGGAGGAGGAGGATTAGATGCATGAGCGGGTTGGTGGAGGACGGGTTGTAGGGGAAGGGGGATGAGGACGAGGAGCACGTAGGAGCGGGGGGGGGGCGATGAGGGAGGGAAGAAGGGAAGAGGGGAGGGGGGGGAAAAAGAGGAAATATGATACACGTCAGGTGAACAAACAAGTGTCCTGGCAGGGCACTTGTTTGCTTACCTGGCGTCTATATGTCACCAGGCGTTTACGTAATCCCGGCGTGTACTCGGTGGATTCCCGAGGTCGCCCGCACTTCGCGCTTCGCAGCCTCGGCCGCAGAGGTGCCCTTCTCCAGAGGAGGAGGCGGCGCGAGGGCGTGAAGAGGAGCGCGCTCCGCGCGGGGCGAAGCGCGGAATCAAATGACCCCGCTAGTCCCGCTTGATCCTTATGTTTCTCAACAGATACGTGCCTGCTCTCACCAGTGCCCAATTCGCTTCCGGAATGTCCCGCCCGTTGCCCGACCGGCGTCCGATTGGTTTGTGCCCGCTGACCAAATAAATATCCGAACACGGCGACGTCGACGTCGACGTCGGCGTCGGCGTCGGCGTCGGCGTCGGCGTCATCAGAGTCGGCGTCTGTATGTGAAGGCCGATGAAGGCCGCTCATCTACCATTTCCATTCATTTATCCTGCTATCCTCTCGGCTCAGGTATTGGACATATTGAGCGCCCTTGTTACGACGGGCGCATGGACAAAAGAGTCACATGTTCTCCTCATCGTATTCTTCTGAGAGAGATCATGCGGTAGGTTCGACGCATTGATTGTCAACCTCCGTTCGCAGGTTATCAGTTCGTTCTATTACGCTCTCCGTTGCGAGATCCCGCGCCGCCTTTGAGCCTTGCGCTTGGCGATGAACCCCACGGCGACCAGTGCCTCTATGCGTGATGGCTCTTCGACGGGGCGTGGGCTTCGCGACGACACGGAGGGGCCACAGGGACAGGGAATGATACCGCAATCCCCCCTACCAGGAAAAGGCAGCCCCGATGCCCGCCTCGAAGCAGCGCTTCGGCGTGCACAGCAGGCATACATGGACTCTTTCCAGCCTTCCGTGCCGGTGCAATCGTACACCCCAGGGTTTGGACCCAGCTTTCGGTCGACTGTTCAGTCACCTGAAGCCAACATCAGTTCAAGTCCCTCGTCGGTGGAAACACCTACGCCTTCCTCCAAATGTTTTCGCCGGTGGGAACACCCGCGGTGGCGCGAACGAGACGTCTTCTGCGAACGTTTCCGCGCGACACCACCGCTGGGACGCCAGACGTCCCACGGGTCCCGCGCTGGTTTCCGTGTCTGAACACGCGCGAACCATTGAGGACCGCGCTGGACTGACTTCGCCCCGAACGGTATCGCCTCCAGTTTCAAAATGGGGACAACAGCCGCAGCCCCTCGCAGAGACGTTCGCCGCATGCTCATCCAGCGGGCCACTGTGTCCCAGCACCAGGCGATCGCGTGGCCCGCCTGGAACCGCACTTTTCCCAGCCAGGAGCTGGTCGGCTTCCTGCCGCCAGTGATTTTGGCAGAGTTCAGAGATCGGGTTGAAACTTACATGCGCCGACAGTTGTCGGGTCTTGCTGCGCAAACAACAACTCAGAGGCAGGAGATCTAGAATGCTTCTGCCCTGAGTTGCGTGTTGTGCGGACCCAGGCTGATCAGCTGGGCGCCCCGACTTCGGCTTGCGATTTCGCCCCCCTCGCCGCCGAGATGGCCGGGGTAAGGAAGGCGGCGGGCAGCGTGCAGTTACGACTAACCCAGATCTCCAACGAACGAGACGCTGATAAGGCGCGGGCCGAGGCGCTCCTCGCCCGTTTGGAACGAGAGCGCGAAGCGCGCAATCGACGGACCCAGGACTTTCAGCATCGTCTGGACTGGTACTCCCAGCGAACCCACGACGCCAACGACGACGTGCGTGGCCTACGACAGACGGGCCGTTGCAAAAACGGAGAACGGTGCAAACTGCTACGCGCTAGCTTTGGCAAGCGTCCTACGTCGCGATTTCCTCGACGCGCGTCGCAGGCTGGCAGGGGCGCCCGCGAGGGGCGACCCTCCGCGGGGCGAGGCCCACGACGGCCACCCAAAGACGGAGGTGCCGAGAACTTTTGTTTCTCCCTCGCAAGACATGGCGCCTGCCCTCTACGAGATCGGCGCAGATGTCTACGTATTGCAGAATGCAGCTTCTCTGCCGACCCGGGCGAGCACTGCGACCCCGCGCCGAGACCGCCGAGAGAAGCTCAGTCGGACTTGCAGTCAGGACAGCGGCAACAAGACGCCCTCTCCCGGACGCGCGGGGGCCAACCGATGTCCCGCGTGCGGGGGGCGTCGGGGCCCCAGGAGTCCAGGGGGTTCGCGCTGGTTGTTTCGCGGATCGCCATCCCCGGGGCGCTGGGGGAGAGGGCCCGCGAAGTCCGGGGGGCCGCAGACGGCTCCCGCAGCGCTCCCGACCCCCTTCTCGGGGCGGCGGCCGCGACTGCGGTCGAGGACGTTCACCTGCCCGGGGCGACAGGGGCGGCGACGGATTCGCCTCCCGCGGCTCCTGCCGGCCACCTGCGATGCACTGCAGGGGCCGATCCCATGCAGCAGCGCGACGCGACCAACGACGGGGCCGAACGTGCGCGATCCGCGAGAAGACATTGGTGGCCGCCCCTACGCGCGCTACCGCCATGCAGCAACCGCAGCACTTACGTTTCGACCTCGACAACATTGACTTCTTCGCCTACTCTGTGCCCCAATGCTTGCTTAAGTGGCGCCCCGAAATCAGTGACGGTGATCCCGTTGTTGCGCCCGGCCCGCTGCCGGACTGGCGGTTGCAGGACAGCGCCGAGGCGCTCCGTGGCTGCAATGGCACGATGACCTCACTACTCCGACCAGACTTACTAGCGCGCCGTGCCATCCGACGTGGGCCCAGCGTCGGTGGCAACGCCCGCGACCGAGTCTCCTTCGCCGACGCGGTTAATGCCAGCGTTGTCAGGGACGTGGATTTTTGGACGGTGGCTCTGCTCATTACATCCAGGATGAGACCGACCTTGCGCAGCATGAGACCGCCGACGTGCACGTTGGACGCGACTATATATTGGACAGCCAATGGCGACAGGATCGTGAACGGGCACATGCCACTGCGGCCCCCGCGCGTCGGGCTATTTAGCTCCGCTCGATGGACGACTGCCCTTCGTGCTATCAGTGGGACAACTGGTGCAAGACGACGGCTTTCGACAAATATGGGATCCACAAATTGGTTACTTCCTGCAGGTCCCACAGGGCCAGTGGTACAGGGCTACCGTGCGCAACCGCATCCCAGAACTCGATGTCAACAACCTCGAACGGATTTCGCCGCCTCAGTTGTTCGCCGCACCGCAAGCGCCAGGCCGCCTACGACGCTCACAGAGAGTTGGACACGCAAGAACACAGAGAACCCTCCGACTCCAATACCGGTTGGCGAGCGACCACAACCACATCAGGATCATTGTCCACGTCGACGAGTTCGAGTTCCATTTTGTGGAACGATCATGTCACAGTGCGACTGTGCATCCCGCGCGGGCCATGGCATTTTCCGGCAGATCCCATTTATCCGGTGGATGACGACTTTGCGCCGGTGGGCGCGCCCGCGTTTGCGCTGCCAACGTGCGACAAGGCGCTGCCAGGCTGACCGCGGCCACCCATCGACCCCAGCATCCCGACTGTGAAGTACGTGTGCGCACCCTGGCGCAGAATGCGCCATGCAGACGCAAGCACAAATCCAGCCCACAACCACAGACCACTGAAGAAGACATCCACTGCGGCGCGGACCTCGTCGGAGGCCGCGCGGCGAAACGTCGACACCAGTTTCTTTGCCCGTGGTGACTGCTGGAAAGCCGGAAGCCGTTTGTTTGGCTTGGTATTTTTGGTTTGCGTCTGGTTTTCTGTTGTGCTGCTCGGAGTTTTTCTCTGGGTTGCCCATGGCTCCAATCAGCGGCGTTTTAGCGGGGCTGTGAGCCTAAAAGCCGTTGCCCGCTACACCCTCACATCCTCCTCCCATCTTCCTTCCCTCCCCCTTCATTGGAATGCAATGCGATTGTAACGCAGTGCGACTGCAACGCAGCGCGATTGCAATGCAATGGGATGCAATGCGGAGGATGGAGGAAAGAGGAGGAGTGAGGAGGGAGGGGGGTGGGATGAAGGAGGGGGAGTGGAAGGGAGGATGGGGAAGAGGGATTGATCTCAATTCCTCGTCGCTCCTCCCGTCAATTTCTCGTCATTCCTCCTCCCCTTCTTGTCCGAACGCGCGCGGACGCCTGCGAAAGGATGGGGGGAGGGGGAGTGGAAGGGGGGGGGA